TTGTAATTTTGTTTTAAATTAATATTTTTTCCATCGTTTTGGAGTTTTAAAGTGTTGACTTTAACCTCTTAAACATATCATACAACTTCTGCTTGCAACACAACCTCAAAAAATAATAGTTTACACCATAGTTTTTTCCAAAAGAGCACATTAGGCTGTAATCTTCTCACGTTTCAATTAAGGAAAAATGTTGCTGAGGCTGTCGAAATGATCTGTTGCTTCCGAACGGTGAAGGGTGAAATCTTGTAATTATTTTAATTTCAATTTTGGAAAATATTATAATACATGAACTCGTCATGAAAGAAAAAAGACACCAAAGTGTAGCGCTTTTGTAGTTTTTTATTATATCTTTTGTTTTTTTAATTTTGTAGTTTTTTTTACATTTATAGTATTACATTTTGTAGTTTTTTTACATTTATAATATTACATTTTGTAGTTTTTTTTTATTATATTTTTTATTACATTTTTTATTACATCTTTTATAGTTTCTTTGTTACCTCACAACACACATCTGCATCTTACATATTTATCAGTAAAAACATTACAATATAAAGATAACTCTGTGTCTTAAACTAAACGTTGACGTTTCAATCCTCAATTGACATCGACAACAAACTCATTGTTTTGCCCGCTAGAGCAGTAGATAAAATTTCGATATTCTTTGTTATACATTTCTTCTTCTCGTAATCCTTCCAAGACATAGATAATAGTTTTAATAAACGAAACGTTCTCTTCTCTCGCGACGAAAAAAGACTCGTCGCGGTCCAAGAGACCATGTCGTGTCAGTCAAGGGACAAAATGAAAGCATGTTATCTAAGCTTAATCGGATGAAACGTTACTGACGATATTTATTGAGCAATCGTAGTCGCTACTGAGCTTGTACAGCTTGTGCGAGCAAATGGAGCCCACATGCGCAAACCTGCCTACAAACCTCGGAACACCTCGCCCAACATAATTAAACCCGTAAGTCTGTAACGTACAGCAAACGATGGAATATTAATGTGAAAGGCATGTCACGACTGTCTCGTGGAGCGGTTTAATTAAAATGTTAAACGAAACAGAATGCACCGCATTTTGCAATGTCGCGCAAATATCCTCGATCACTCGACACGTAAAGTGCGATATTCCGACAACCCGATGTTACACTTCTTTTATTCTTTCTCGCACACCTTTCACTCTCTCATATTCTTCAATTCTCTTATATTTGTGACTATGTGGGTTCATAAATTTCTCTTCCAATATCTATTTTCTTTTTTAATAATTCCAAATATTTCGATTATGTTCGCGAGTACGGACAAAGATAATCCTGGTCCGAATTGAAAATAAGTCGGAAAATTTTTATTATTTTTCTTCTTTTCAGACCAGTCATTAATCGATTAAAATTTTCTTTAATATAGACTAATCTAAATTCATCTAAATTCATCTAAAATAAGCAGCAAGTGAATCATCAAAATTAATCAATCGTCACATATAAAATCAAATAACTTCATCGATTGGTGAAATCAATTATTAATAAAACTTTAATGTAACTTATAATGTATTAATTAATAATTAATTTCATGTGTCAATTAAATTATTTGTGGTTACACATAGGGTGTGTGTGCAAGCGTGCGCGTGGGTGTGTGTGTATGTGTGTGACTATATACATAATAACGATATCCACTATATTTTTACCAGTTATAATGATCAGATAGAAACATGTTCTAGATGCAATTAATCAATTTTTATAAACAGTAACAAGATGCAATAATAAATATTTCGGAAACGTTGTTTTTTCATAAAAAGATCAAGGTTATATCCAATTTTTACAAAATTAACTTTCCGTTTGCAATAATTTTTATTCCCTCCGTCGATAAACTGGAATTTTTTCATTTAACTCAACATTTCCCGTAATCAAACAGGACTTTTAAGAAATAAGAGTCACTTTTCAACATCTCTATTACTTTTTAACCCAAATGTTGAAACTTTCCTCAGACACATGATATCATTCGAATATACTAAACTTATACTTGACGTACATAATATACTGATAATATCCATCCAATATTTTTATAATACATTATTTGTCACATATTCTTAGAACATACTCTAAATCGGATATTTATTGAATATACTGAATAGGATATTTGTAGAATGTACTAAGCCCATTATCGATATTCCGTTTAATTATCGAATGTTATAAGTACATCTTGAAAGTAATAGATAAGTACATCTTGATAGCAATAATTTGGACAACAGCGGTAAACGAATATTAAAACAAGTTGCAGAATTTTATATATCATAGATTATGATCTTCAGATAAAAGAGATGCAATAAATATGGAAATAGATACAATATTTATAGAAAATAATATCATGTGCTATCTGAGTAAATTTTATAATGTTTTATCGCCGGAATTATGATGTATGTTATAGTTTAGTTATATAGTTCATATAGTTCAATTATAGAAAACAAATGTACAATGCATAGATTATATTTTGCACATTTCGAAGCATTAGTAAGACTCACCTGAACATATATATGGCAGTCAATCAATTTACTGCTTTATAGCAATAGAGAAAATTTTATCAATTATTTGGTCTTAACCTTCTACCTGAACTTGTTGCACTACTTCAAAAAATATACATACAAAATCAGGCATGTAAGGCGAACGTATAAGATTTTCAAACTTCAGTATGCGTACATTTATTGAACTAGTGTTACCAGTTCCGTTGAAAAGAACAGATCAATTATGCTCTTTTTCCAGAGTTGTACGCTCATTGGATATCAGGGCCCATCTACATAAAACGTAGAACACAGAACACACTCGCACGCGAGACGCGACATGCAATGAACGTACTACCATTCTGGTAAAGCTATAACTTGAATTGTATAAATTAATATACCTACTTGATATATCAAATATATATTCTACCAGAACATATATAAAATTTACTATTAACGTATTCTATATATTCCTTGAATATACTTGTGGTATACTATGGGATATTCTCAATATATACTGAAAAAACGAATAGTCGTAGCTTTTAAATATATTTTATACATTCTTAGTAGAACATAGTACGAATCTCGAACATTTATTTTTAGGGGATATATACAATCTACTTTTATAATATTCTCCGAATATTCTCAGAATCTATCTATGCTATTAGGGTAGTTTAATAATTAAATACCCAGTTGCAAGAGGCAAAAAGATTCACTACAAACAAATCCTGAACAACAAAGTTACTAAAAATTATGCGGAGATATGATTTAAAGTCGTATTGCAACTTTCTCGTGGTAGACTTTAGGAACTTCAGTTTTTATAAAAATCATTTACAAATAATTATAATTCTAACAAAATATTTTAATAGAGTTGAATTTTTTAAATAACTTGTAGAGATGAAAATAATTTTTAATTGCAAATTTCTGATTTGCTTTTTTTTGAGGGGTCATCCCTTAAACTTAAGCCTTGACACTGCCTTAATGCATAAGATTATTTAATTTTCGAGACACGTATAACTAAAGAATGGCCGATGCTACGATTTCATTAGGAAAAATTCGACTATTAGTCGAAGAGTCCATTGAAAGCTTTCGACGCGTATCGGTCATAATTCGTATCTTTTTTTCTTATAGTCACAACTGTACGATATGATTGACGAATGTTTAAGGTAGGATGACCATATTCGGATCAGATATTAAATGCGGATCAAAAATTTGACGGATAATAGGCCATATTTTAAAATTATTCGTTTAAATTTTGCTCTCTCCCACATTAATAACGTTATTCTATATTGTCGCTATTATAAAAGGAATCAACATCTTTACATGACATCTTTTTTTCTATTCAGTTAAGAAAAAAAACAGAATACATAAATGATAATAAATGTGACGGCTCAGTCGAAGCGTCTTTCGAAGATATATAAGCAATTTCACTCTTTACTTTCAATTCACTGCAAACATTTTTATGCAGTTTTACAGAAGGTTGCAAAAAAATATAAACTTTTATATTTTCAGATCTTTTCATTCTATTTAATGCAAAAAAATGCGGGTAGTGCTGAAACGCACATTTACCTGTGCTATAAACTTCCTGTAATTTGTTGAAAATGGGTAAAAATTAATTTTGTTTACAGTAAATATTTGTTTTCCTGTAAATTAAGAATTACAGTTATTGTAATAATTGCTGTAAAAGTAATTATTGTAAGAATTATAGTTATTAGAGTAATTATTACCAAAATTTAACTAAAACTTTTATTTCGGGGTATTCATTTATTTTTCTCTCACTACTTTGTTAAAACACTACTTTGATAAAATTTATTGCCGTACTTACAAAGAACATTCGCGAAATCTCCGATTTCGATGAAATTTGGCATATTTATAAAGTGACGAAAAATAATAAACTTGTATTTTTTTATATTAGCAAAGATTCAAGTTTAAAGGATGACACTTCAAAGCTTCACCCCTATCTTGGTAACTATTAAAAATACAGAAAACTTTTTAAATAAAAATGATGTTTTTGTATGAAAAATAAAATAGGCTATACAACAATTAAAAAATATTTTAAAAAATTAAGAAAATAGCTATTGTTAATAGTTATTATTAGTCTTAATTTTTAATTTATTGAATTCGTTATACTATAGAGGAAAAAGTTAACTTTTTTTATTTTCTTAATCCATCCGTATATATTATTCTATATTTAAATTATACAAACATAAAAATATATAAGTAAACACCGTTTCGCGAGCCGTACGCTCGGTAGCGTGCACGAGTGCTTAATCGCTAGACAAATGGCGAACTCTGCATATACATATTTTTTTAATAGATTTTAACAAATACTATCATGTTATTTATTACAGATGAAAATAATTCAGAATTATTTAAACACATATAAATACCACCGAATATGCTCTAATTTGTAATATGTATTTCGCATCACATTGCTTATACCTGAATTATAGATAAATAAATAAATATATATATATATATATATATATATATATATATA